GGAGGAAGCATTTAAGAACTAGAGGAAAGTTGCATGTCTCATCGTTGCTACCCTGCACCCTGACTGGCTAGAAGCACACCATCCTGTGTGATCACAAGGTGTTGAAGGGATCAGGTACTAGGCATAAAAGAACAAAAAAATCATATCATTGTGAATGAGGTTGAGTGCAGAGTGGAGACCCAAAGCCCATCGCAACTGGACACCCCCTTACTGAAAGGTCACACAGAATAAAGTTTTTTAATAGGAATTACTCCAGATTTTGTATGTGTGTATATTTCTGAGGGTTCTTTTTCTTAAAAGACATTATATGGAAGTATTAATACTGCATTTTGTCAAAAGCAGAAAACTTGTGAGACAGAGATAAAGACTGTGGGCACTTATGCATCTTTGTATGGAAATTTTTTTATTTCATCTTTTTGGGGTCTTGTTATTTTATTGTTATGCTCTAATTTACCTATAAATTTGAGTCTTGATATTTATATTATTGCATAATTTTATATACTGTTACATTAAATAGCTTTATACATATTGTTAAAAAGAAAATTTTAAAGTCCTTTTACTCAACAAAGCATATTAGCACTGGAAATGGGTGTGGAGGCTTGTAATAATACATAACAATTATCTGTCATCAATATTTTAAGAGAATTTTAACTGGAGAAATACTTTTGACTTCTCATGGTAGAACACTCAAAGGAGGAAGGGAGAGCCCTCCACTTACCACGTGATCCTTAAATGCCACTGTGCTGGGTGCTCTCTTACATGTCATGTGGTTTCAGTTCATCTCCACCACAGCCACTAAAAGAAAGCATACTACCCCCATCCTTACGCCTCCCCTATTTTACATAGGAGGAGACTGAGACTCAGTGAGGTGAAGTATTGTACTCAAAGTCAAACAGTTAACTAGTGACTCCAAATCTTATAGTAGCTGCTCACCTTTCACACTGTCTCCAGTGGAAATGCTAGCAGCATATTAATGAGCCAATTCAAACTGTTTGCATATAAATCTACAATGGCAGCATGCAAAACCCATTATAAGTAAAATCTTAGCCCTAAACATTGCCATCTGCACACAGAACTAGTATTTACATAGCATCAGTTAATAATCCGTGAGCTGGCTCCAAAGAATAAGCACTCTGAGTGATTATAAACCCAAGACACAACTTTGGTTTTTCTTTTTCTTACTTTATTATTAATTGCATTTAATATATATATATATAATATCATTCCATAGTTCAATCACATCAAGCAGTATTGTACACTTGCTGCCACAATCAGTTTACAAACATCCTTTCCTTCCCGGCTTCCTTTACATCATCTCTTTTTTACTCCCCCGCCCCTGTACCCCACCACCGAAACCCTTATTCTACTTGCTGTCCCTATACGCTCATCGATCCTAGGTTGCATCTACCGAAAAAGAGAAACATATATAACAAACTTCAGGAGGGTGACCCCCAATGATATAACACCTCTGAGATAAACCCTAATAGGAACAAACAAAAATAGAAAAAATGTTGGAAACCAGATCAGGTCCAGCATGCATCAGAGAGGGGATCAAATGACAGTGCTTTAACTGTGCAAGTCTGGCTTATCCCTGGGTCTTTCTTATAAAGGCAATTTTCAGTTAAGAGTGTTTCTTTCCAACAAGGCCATCAAAATACCTCTGAGGGTGAGACTCCTGTATCATTTGGTAATATGAGTCAGGGTGGGGCCAGAGAAGAAACGGAAATTTGCATTGGGGATTACCTTTTATAAAAGAAAGGAGTTACAAATTGAAGTTAATCTTTTTAAAGTGCTGTAATTAACCTCAGATTTGCCCTACACTAGTGGCCTCTTTCTAATTCTATGCAAAGCTAAAGGGTCTTGTGAGAAAAGGAGAACGTGTGATAAAGAATGCATTACAGAAGGTAAAATGGGGCATGGCTTTACGTTAAAGGAGACTCCTTCCCCCATTCTTGAAGCGCTTCTGGTTTTAGTTTTTTCCCTCAACTTCCTCCCCTTGTAAACACACACAGACCCAACAGGTAGGAAATCAGCTTAGTCCTCATTTTTCATTCGTTTAAACCTATCTGCCTCTGGAGCGACAAACCTACTACTTTACATAACAGAGGGGTGTGTGTGTGTGTGTGTGTGTGTGTGTGTGTGTATGTGATGAACTGTAAGAGCAGGGGAGGGGCAAGGTAGGAATTCTGAGGGGCTATGGTCGGAAGGCAGAGTTGCTACTTCCTTTTCAAAGCTGTCTGGCGGAGGGGGTGGGGATTATACTAGCCCATCACTACGCCGCGTGCCAGTCTCACACACTGATGTTTCTCCGTCATGTTCCTTGAGAAATTTCCCCAAAATTAGGAAAAGGACGATAACGCGCGTTTGCCTCAGAAAGCAAGTCTTTACCATTGCAACACAAAGGACGGCAGTGCGCGCTTCCACAGCCTCGCAACTCCATTCACTTGGCCAGCTCCTTACTTCAGCACCACGGAGAGCAGCACCTCGTTGCCCGCCACCCATGGGGAGCAAGATTCCCGCGACTCACAACCGGATTCCAGTCATCTAGAGGAAGAACAAATTCGCCTGTTTTACCCTCAATGTAAGCTATGATGATACGTTCATATCGCTTTTCTGGGAGAGATTGCTTTCTTCCTAAAATATGGGATTAAACTTTTATTTATTTACCCTCTCCCTATAATACATTGTTTGATTTTATCTGGAAATCCGTCCCTGAACTCTCTTATTTGTTGCATTTGTTGGGGGATTATTATTATTGCTTTCACTTTTTATGGAAAGTCTAAGTTTGCAGAGCTATTTAGTAACAAACAGCTCATCAAGGGAGCCCAGTCGTTTTGTGATGAAGTGTAGCCTTATTCTGAGACCAGAGTGGGGGCATCATCTCTTCTCCTACTTCACTATTGACAGATTTTAATTGTGAGGGGGTTTTTTATGGTCGTATTTGTTTTAATATAAATATGGGTGAACGTAAGAAAAGGGGTTTATTGTAAATAAGTAGCCACCGTGAAAGAACTACAGGTGGGAGGGATAAAAAGATTGTAATTTTTTTCGCTTTTCCTTTGTTTAAAATATGGTCTGAACCAGATTTCTCTTTTAGACATCCATTTCAAAATAATGAATATGCTACTAATAAAAGAGATGTGATATGGGCAGGGCTTATACACAAGCACTGCAACTCTGCAGCATGGACTCTCCCTGTGAAGTTATACATTCACTTATATATATGATTGAGTAGACTCAATCAGGATGCTACGGACATAGATTATCATTTAAAAGCTTAATGGATTCAGGATAAATCTGAAAGAGGCAATAATGATTGACCCTGTCTAGTGGTGCTCAGTGAATTTTTGCCTGAGAATGCCACCTGCTGGCAGGTCCTATTTCTGAAGCATTGGACACATTAATCATATTTATGAATGAACTCATATTAAGTCCAGAATATTCATGATGGATATGACTCAAACTCACTCTCTAAGATCTTTTAAACAATTACATTGTTTCGATTATTTAACAGCTTACCAAATTCTGTGTCACAATTATACTTTCATAAATATTAATTTCCAAAATCACTTCCGTCTAAGCTTAGGGGCATGTAGTCTACCTCACTCCTTTAGGCAGTAATTAACCCAGAAAAATCAGAACTATATGGAGCCTCATTGAGGCTAATTACAGAATGCATGTGGTACCTTGAGTGAGAACTGCCAGGAACTCTTGCTTGATAAGAGCAATCAGCATTTCCCACAGATAAATATTCAGCGTGTGACTTTTCCCAGTATTGTAATTTAATGAGTTAAGGGCCTCTTTCATATTCCTGGCAGTAGAGATTCATTTCATCCTCTTTTAACACAGGTTAGCAAAGCCATAAAAGGATTGCACATATCTATTTCTTCCAAGAAACTTCTTTGTGGAAAAAAGTCATGCACCTATTGGAAATTATTGTTCCAATTTTATTCGAAGCTATATGCAATGAAATATAGGCATCCAATTTTATTCCTCAATTCCAGGTCGGCGAATAAGGGTTCTCAAAGTAGGGAAGAACTAGAGAATACACACAAAGCCCTGGACATGTTTGAAGGCTAATGAATAGAATAGTGTGAAATAATGAAAATAACTTCTTGTCTATGTCATGCTATTTATTGAAAAGTAAATAAGTTATACAATAAATTAATACCATGGGGAAACACCAGATATTTTTTAATCCAAGATGCAATGGGGAAAATATCTTACATTAGCAAAATTGGTTGTAAACATAGCATGATAAATTGTAAGTAGCGTCGGACGACTTTGTGTATCCTCTACAAGGACTTGACTAGTAAGGGGTATGAGCTCATCTATGTCATGGAGTGAATAAGTGGTTATCTTTCCTGTTGATTAAAATGCATAAGTTGTATAAACAATTTACTGTTACTATCTTTGGAAATCGGATTGCAGAATGATTGTAATTGAAATGGACTAAAAGAAAATTAATAGTATCCAGTATTAATAGAGCACAGATTATATTTTAAGTCACTAGTAATTGATATGTATTATCTCACCTTAAATTCAATAGAGTAAGGAATGTGACATTTAGAAACAAATTGGGTACCTTTGAAAATAAATACAATTTTCAGAAGGGTTATAAAAGAGTAAGAATGCCTGAATTTTCAGGGCCCATCACTGAAGAGATTTATTATAACTTATGATAGAAAAAAGAGACTGTCTGTGCCCATGGAGACTTCCAAAGGTTCTGAGTTTTGTCAGAATTGACTCAGTGGCAGTGAGTTTGATTTGGGTTTTGCTCGATACTAGCTGTCTTATCTAAAAATGTATGGGTCATTGTTTGTAGTGGAGCTAATTAGAAACTGATTTTGCTTTGGAACTCGCATCTGATTTTAAAAGTTATTAGTTACCAATGGGAAAGGTCAAGGTTTATGGCTATTGCATTAGGAAAGAGATAAACATCAGTATCTCTCTATTTTACTGGTTTTCTTTAATGGTCGACCTAGATCAAGTCTGTAATAATTGATTTAGTTATTTGGCCATGCACTGCCTGCCAGACAGAAAAGATGCTGGGCCCCAGGTGCATCTACCACATAAACAAGTAAAACTCTACGCTCAAGGATACTCCATGGAAAGGAATAATCCTAACAATCTAAATAAATACAGGTGAAAAATGAATGGCCAGGGCATACCGTTCAAAAGCATGGGTCCTGCAGTCAGATAGACTGCAGATAGATCCTAATAGAGCATCACTCTCAATTTGTGCCGCCTTAGTGCAAGTGGCTACTTTAGCTGAGCCTCTATTTATCATCTGTTTAATGGGAAGGATTGTAGCACCTGCAGCCTGCGTGTTTGTAAGACTGTAGAACGATCATTCATGTAAAGTCCTCCACACGGTACACAGCACATGGTAAATGGGTAGTGAATGTTACTTGTGATTAATGATTTCCTAAATAGTCACTTAGGAAAATGGCTAAGCTCATCATTTGCTGATCTGTGTGAATTTAAAATGATACTGCATATAAGCGGGTAGGAGTGCCTGGCACATTGTAAGTATGTAACATAGGTCATTATTACTACAAGATAGTCATTTAGAAAAAGAACTACTCTGAATATGTTAGCATTGAGTAAAATGTGAGCCAATTTCACTCATCGTTTATGTATATGTATTGATGTGTAAGGTTTTGATCATCACTGACATGCACATTTGAATCAGCTTTACAGGCCCCAGAGCACTTGGTGCACATCATTTCATCCTCACTGTGGTCCTGCAAGGCACGGGGGTGGATTGTCTTCTGCCCTGTCTATTGGTAAGAGAGAGGAGGCATAGGAGAAGACTCCAAGCACGTGTCTCTTTCCACGGTTGCCCTGGGCTAGGATTCAGAATGCGTGCATACACTTGGACAGGTTCAGAGACCAGAGGCTGGGTTTTCCAAGGTATCTGACCTGCCTCTTAGATTTTGTTTGGTTCTATGTCCAGCTATCCCTTACAGATTGAATTGGTTTCAGGCTTGGATAATTTCCACAGGGGCCTTTGGGGCATGTGTCAATTTTAGAAAAAATAAGGCGAATATTTCTAAAAAGAAATTCTGAACAAGCGGCCTTTTCTTCACTTGCAATTAACCACAGCCCTCTCTCCAAAATATTTTATGGACATCTCCTTTGCAGCTGGAGTTAGGGCGTAGAATTCATACTTTTCATGGGTCACTGGCATCTGGCTTCCTTCAGACTGGCTGATGCATCTCTAAAAACCACTGGATAAAAATAGCAGCCAAGGGATCGGGAGGGAATTTAGTCATCAGTTCTGCTCCCCAATACGGTTTTGTTTCCACGAGAACCCTCCTCAATGCCATCAAATGTCAATGTATGCATTTCTGGAGAATGAAAACCACAGTATCTTAATTGAGGTATTTGATGAGTTTGATCACTCATTATCTTCCTAATACATGCAAACAAAAATGCACTTGCATTCAAAGTTCAGTTTTTAAGAAACATCTTAAAGTACAGGCAATCAAGTGCCAATTGCAGTTATTTTTCCCAATTGCATTTTATTTTGCTCATTATGGGCCCTAAGTCTGGGACACAATCACCTGTGCAGGGCCACATGTTTGATATGTCATGAACGTGGGTTTTGATCTTTGGAGGTTGTGGACCCTAATGGCTTTATCTTTACAACATATCATCTTTGGTGGATTCTTTCCTGCGCCTGTGGATACATATGGCTAAAGTATAAATATCTATGATATCGATATTGAGTGACAAGGGTATGGTGACTCCATATATTCCTAGACATATAAATGCTTAAAAGCATCATTACAGGTAATCAAAATAAGAAGGGGTTCAAGCCAATTAGAATGTGAGGCTGAGGGGCTTCCATCAATATTGGACTTTATTCATGTGGCTGTGGGGTTAATTATCAACCCCCTTAGACTGGAAGTAATCTCCCTGAGTAGCATTTCTCACCATATGCTGCTGTGTAGATGTCACCAGTGTCAAATTCTCTAGGAAAGCAAAAGCAATGGCAATGTAGTGAGCATCCAAGTGATGCTTCCAAACTGAGATTTTGAAGTCTTGGAAAGGGAGCTTGTTTATTTATTACTCTTTCTGGGTGATTGCTTTCAAGGACATAAAGAAAATATATGTGCAGGTCAAACATAAGGGTCTTTTCACTTCTGTCCGTGCCTAGCTATACACATAAATGTTTTTCTTGGATAAAGAAAAAAGATATATATTTTCTTTAGTGTAAAGGAAATAAAGATTCATATGATGACCAGCCCAGGCAGGGAAATGATTTACCCTACACTTGGTCATTTTGCTTGACTTGCCTTAGTTTCACCACCAAAACCTTGAGACTGTGAAGCGTTGGCTTTTTATGTTTGTTTTCCATGTAAATAAGGAGAGTTCAGAAACGAGGCCTGAAGACCCTTTCGGTGTGTAGACGTCAGGGTCTGTGCTATTCAGACGGGTCCTGAATTTAGATTGCATACTTATAAGTTGCTCGTGAAATATTTCTTCGCTCTCAGTGGGTTTGATGGTGATTAGCTTTCCTGTGATCCAATATCTCCATGGCTGGTTGCTGTGTAATCCTTGTGTATTCTTGACCTTGTAGTCCGACCTGCTTTTTCTCTTGAGCAGATCTCTGAGGGAAAAGTGATGTGGAATGAAGCAATAGAGCCTGCACCATCCAGGCAGCGACCATTTCATTGCTGATCCATTTTTTAGATCAGTGGTTCTCAACCTTCCTAATGTCGCGACCCTTTAATACAGTTCTTCATGCTGTGGTGACTTCCCAACCATAACATTATTTTCATTTCATAACTGCCATTTCGCCACTGTTATGAATTGGGCGACCCCCGTGAAAGGGTTCGACCCCAAAAGGGGTCGCGACCCAAAGGTTGAAAACCACTACTCTACTGAATAAACAACTTTTTCTGAGGGAAATGTGACTCAGCCATGGGAGGATTAGAGGCCAAGCTCTGATCTCCAGTCTTCGCTTTATAGGAGAGATCTCAGATCACTCCCCTCAAGCTGATTCCAACTCCCACTGGCCCTGCGGGACAAAGGGAACTGCCCCTGGAGGTTCCGAGGCTGTAACTCTTTCTGCCATGGAGTGGCTAGAGGTTTCAAACTGCTGACCTGGCTATTAGCGGCCCAACACACAACCCACTCTGACACCAGAGACAGGCTCCCCAGTGGCAGAGTGGGTTTAGAACCAAGGAGTTTTGAGTAGGTCAAAGTTAAAATAAGCAGAAAAATTAAATAGACTAAGATTAATTTTCAATGCTTAAAAAAACCTCATACCATATGGCTGCATTTTAAAGTCTTTCTCAATTTATTTCATTTTCTTAACAAAATGGTTTAAGTGAAATGCTGAGTATTCTTTTTGTGTGGAGACAAGACCAATAATAAATTGAAAACTCTCTAGCACATGGGAATAGTAAAAGCAAATCACAGGTACTCACGTTTTTGAGCAAATACACTCTTGGTAAGATTAATTGCACTCCAATATAATTTGAATAATGTATGGGGGTGGACTGAAAAAGGGATATAGAAAAATTCTGATAGACTAATAGAAAAACCAGGGGGGGAAATAATAAAAATTTAAAAAATTTTAAAAACCAGGGAAATTGAACACACTGGCGCTGGTTAGAGGTTTAGCAACTTATGGTGAAGGTATCTGAAACCTAGAAATAAGGACACCTCAAGGTCAAAAACCTAGCTGGAGAGGGAGTACTCTGGCTGAAACTCAAATTGTACTATAGTTGTTATTCTCTGATTTCTTAAAAAGCCCGTTTAAAACCTTGGCAAACTAAAGGTCAAGGAACTGGTCAAACGTCACAAGGCTGGTAAATGGTGGAGCCAGGATTCCAGTGCTAGATGGTCTGACTTCAAGCTTTTATTTCATTGTTGTTAGGTGCTTGCAAATCAGTTCTGCCTGATAGAATTTCTAGATCTGTATTTTAGAGCAAAACACTGCCCAGTCTTTTCCCCTGACCCTCTATTTACCAAGTATGATGTCCCCTGACCTTCTATTTACTAAGTATGATGTCCCCTGATCCTCTATTTACTAAGTTATGATGTCCCCTGACCCTCTATTTACCAAGTATGATGTCCCCTGACCTTCTATTTACTAAGTATGATGTCTCTGACCCTCTATGTACTAAGTATGATGTCTCTGACCCTCTATGTACTAAGTATGATGTCTCTGACCCTCTGTGTACTAAGTATGATGTCCCCTGAGCCTCTATGTACCAAGTATGATGTCCCCTGAGCCCCTATGTACCAAGTATGATGTCCGTCCCCAGGAACTGGTCTCTCCTGATAATATGTCCAGAGTATGGGAGGGAGACAAGGCTCACGATCCTTGCTTCTAAGGAGCACTCTGGCCAGACTTCTTCCAGCAGAGACTTGCTCATTCTTCTGGAAACCCATGGCCTATTCAATATTCATCACTAACACCACAATCCAAACGCAAAGGTTTTCCCCTTGTCTTCAGCTCTCAAAGTGACACCTTTACTTTTTACACTTTATCAAGAGATCGTTTGCAGCAGATTTGCTCTATGCAACACATCATCTGATTGCTTGACTGCCTCTGGGTGTTGCCTGTTGATCCGAGTGAAATGAAACCCTTGACAAGGTCAGCCTTTTGTCTCTCGTGATGTGGCTTATCTGTCTGTCTGGATGGATTTTTGTCTTCTTTGGGTTGAAAGGTAATAATCTATACTGTAGTCTGCAATCTTTGATCTTGATATGAGAGGAAAATCATAATAGCACCTACCTCAAAGGCTGGCGTCAAGGGTCCCACATGCTAATAGCTATAAAGCTCTTAGTATGGTGTCTGGCATAGACTAGGCGCTCGGTTATTAGTATAATTCTTACTATTAACCACTATTTTATGCTACAAAGGGTACAGTGACAAGTTAAATGAGGACCTGAGAGCTGACTTCTTTCTTTCCTCAAGAAGCCAGGTTCGGTCTTTAGAGGCTGTGACTGAATTCCCTCACAAGGGCAGCTTCAGTGGCCACCAGGAACTGGCATTGATTCAGAGCCTGCTCCCCGTCACATCTTGCTGTTTAGTAGGGGGTTTAAATTACAGGGCACCAGGAAACAGTGCTCATAGGGAACGGCAGTGAATGTGAAGCAAATGGTATGGTTGTGTTGCATTTTGTTGCCATCTTTTTCATTAGGTCGTTAGAGGTTGATACATCTGAGCCAAAGGTGGCCAGAATCCATGGTGCCCAACTGGGCTATACAACCTTTAGAGAACTGGGCATTATAAGAAGTGGGAGGGAACTGAAAAAGGCCCGTATGGGAGGGGAGCTTTCTTCATGCCAGCTACCTCACTTCAGCCTCCTGTGAACCCTATGACACGGAACATTGCCTATGTTGTACACGTGAGAAATCAACAGTTCTGAGATGTTAAGACTTACTACATTTACACAACTGACAATAAGTGAGAATAAAGCCAATGACTATCTGCCTGGTTCAGTCATACGTGTAGCTCACACCCTCCAGCTCCATCTCCCATTTCACTTCTCCTAAACCTCTGAATAGAGGTTCTAGACCCAAATCAATATTCTTCTATTTGAAAAAAAAAAAGTTCAAGTAATCCAATTTGTTTTCATCTCAACAATGAAGACAATGTTTTCTAATAAGATTTCACAGTTTCTCATAAACTTTCCATCATAATATTTTTATTATTATTATTACCCTGAGTGTGTTCGTGACAATGATTCCTCTCTCTCACACCTGTGTCATCTGTAAGTCCCCTGGAAAGTAACTAAGTATCTCTGCCTTGTCATCCAGGTTGGGCAGCAGCACGTTCAAAAACATGCAGCGCCGACACACAACGTTGAGAGAGAAGGGCCGCCGCCAAGCCATCCGGGGTCCTGCCTACATGTTCAACGAGAAGGGTACCAGCCTGACTGCGGAGGAGGAGCGCTTCCTGGATTCAGCCGAGTATGGCAACATCCCTGTGGTCAGGAAGATGCTGGAGGAGTCCAAGACCCTCAACTTCAACTGCGTGGACTACATGGGGCAGAACGCGCTGCAGCTGGCCGTGGGCAACGAGCACCTGGAGGTCACCGAGCTGCTGCTCAAGAAGGAGACGCTGGCGCGGGTCGGGGACGCGCTGCTGCTGGCCATCAGCAAGGGCTATGTGCGCATCGTGGAGGCCATCCTCAACCACCCGGCTTTCGCACAGGGCCAGCGCCTGACGCTCAGCCCGCTGGAGCAGGAGCTGCGGGACGATGACTTCTACGCCTACGATGAGGATGGCACGCGCTTCTCGCACGACATCACCCCCATCATCCTGGCGGCGCACTGCCAGGAGTATGAGATCGTGCACATCCTGCTCCTCAAGGGCGCCCGGATTGAGCGGCCCCATGACTACTTCTGCAAGTGCACCGAGTGCACCGAGAAGCAGCGCAAAGACTCCTTCAGCCACTCACGATCGCGCATGAACGCCTACAAGGGACTGGCAAGTGCAGCCTATTTGTCTCTGTCCAGCGAAGACCCTGTCCTCACCGCTCTGGAGCTGAGCAACGAGTTAGCCAGACTAGCCAACATTGAGACTGAATTCAAGGTACGGTAACTCCCATTCCCCACACCGCAGCCAAATGGCCCCGGGGGCGCTCCCATGGAGTCAGGCAACTATCTAGGTGGTTTTCTGGTCTGAGAAGGGGTGAAAACCTCAGGGTCTTGTGATTCAGGGTCGCTGGGAGAAAAGAGAACGTCCTCAACGTGTGTGGGTGCAGGCCTAAGGGAAACACAACCTGTTGGGTGGGATATTTTAAACTATGTAAAGGCGGTAAAGAGGTGACTTAAACGCAGATCTGTAGAGAAAAGAAGGCACTCCATAGGCAACAGGAGAATGTGGTTCTGGTATAAATACTTCAGTTTCGGCTCCGGAGTGCACGGATACCTGGTGGTTCTTGGCTAACGCAGCGCTGACCTTTCTTGGGTGTTTCACCTGCATGGCTCTGATTTGCGCTCTTCGCTGTTCGTATCTCTACCACATCCTGGACTGTGGGAGTCTTCGCTCAGTCTCATGTTCCAAATCTTCAGAGATTAGCTGCAGCCTTTCCCAACCTTAGAAGGCTAAGGGGATTGCCCTGGTCCAAGGGCAGGATAACGGAAACATAAATGAAAACAAAACCAGTTTTGTAGAGGCGAGCTTGCCACCCCAGGAGACTCTGAGGCCCAGGGCAAAGTTCAAGAATGTATTCACCCTGAAACATCAGGACCTCCCAGGCCAGCTCAGGAGGCTGGAGGTCCATTCTCAAAGCCCGTTATTCAATTATGGTTCTCTGCTTCTGTCGACTGACTCTCCCTAAAAGAGGAGACTGGGACCTAGTGTAGGGGCTTCCTTGGACATGGTGTTTAATAGTAATAATAGCAAATCCTTAGTGAGGACTTATGTGACTGGGAGCCCTGGTGGGTAAACACTCAGCCGTTGACTAAAAGGTCAGAGGCTCAAGCCCACTAGCCACTGCAGGGGAAAGATGTGGCAGTCTGCTTCTGTCTTAGAAACCCTGTGGGGCAAATTCCATCTTGCCTTATACGGTGGCTGTGTGTTATCATCTTGAAAGCAACCGGGTTTTTATTTAACAGGATGACTACCCTGTGATCTTTTTTAACTGCCTCAATTAAAAGCCATCTGACTTTAGTACCTCCTTATCCCCATTATATATGAGGGCAGGGGTAGACAGAGGTTAAATAACTTGCTCAGTAACAACTAGTAAATAGCAAAACCACTGCTATAATCCAGGCATTCAGACCCCACAGCCAATTCCTGTACATCTAGCTATTATGACCTCAGAAAACGTTGTTTGTGTTGTGACCCTCTCAGAGTTTCACTCGTCTTTATCTGAATGATGAAGGGATTCCTTATTGCAAACTTTAGGCAGGGGGAAGAAGAACCACACTAAATTCAGAATTTCTCACACTAGCCTTCAATAAGAGTCTACGATGTCCTCGTGCTAAGGAACACGTCAAGAGATGTCACAGTCAGGCTGATAGTAGATTAGGGAAAGCATGTTATGGTGAGTGAAAAGTTTATTATCCAAACAAGACGTTGTGGCAAGAGCTGCCCCTCCTCTGGACACAATCAGGTGGCCAATGCTGAGTATCAGCTCACTGCAAAGGAGGATTCTGCGAACTGTGGTCTTCAGGGAGGCTCAGAGGAGGAGATGAAATGGGGGAAGAGGAGGATCCACGGGAAAA